AGAGAGAGAGAGAGAGAGAGAGAGGGGGAGAGAGAAAGGGAGGGAGAGGGAGGGAGAGAGAGAGTGTGGGGGGGGGAGAGGGAGAGAACCAAAAAATTCAAAAACCAATGTTAATGAAGTCTTTATTGTTGTTTTACATGAAGATGACAAATTAATTTCTCACCATAAGTTGAACAGAATCGACTTCATCCTGATGTTTTATTACAGCGAAGTATGTAATATTGCTTGATTCATAGAAATAATATCGAATAATCACGACATGCATAGCAATGTTGATTCATTCACAGATCTTTTGACCAATCACGTTCCAGTATTAACAACCCTGATATGTTCTACTTGAGTACCGTATATAATTTACAAGCTTAGATTTCTCAGACACAGACAAGACCCAAGATGAACAGTGTTATTACACTTATGCACCGTACAAAAGCAAGTTTATACATGGCAGAAGAAGAACGCCGTGCGTTCCTTTTTACTCTTTTTTTTAATGTCCTGTCCCATATTTTGGAATAACTATGAAGAAAAAGTAAACGATTACTTGTAATGTCTATTGGCATGTAGGGCATAGGTTAAACGCTCTTTAAGATCGAGTCCGCGCTAATCTTACAACAGGACATAGATAAGTGGGTGGACAGCCATGCCAACTACTTCTCACACAGCTCACGCTTAAAGACGCCAAATTAGGGCTCCGGAGACAGCGTCTTCTCATTGTAGTCTAGCATGATAACCAAGGGAACTGACAGAGGGCCGTCCTCGAGGAAAAATTGGTCAATTTGTGTGGTCCATCCGATGTATACAAGCTCTAATACCCTTTAAAGCACACTTTCATCCTCCACGACCCCCCCCAAGAAAAAAGTCCAACAAAACATTAACCGAGTTTAGAAAAGTTATTCAGGTAAATGTAAAAGTAGGGGACTCTGACAGAGATCTATATGTGCGACATTAGATACCAGACAGTTGAAAATATTCAGTCAGGCATTGCTAGTGTACGGTGAGATAAAACATCCTTGTGGCATTTCCTCTTTCGGATTGCTTTGTTTTATTATTATTACTATTAATGTGAAAATGTAATTACTACATTTTTTTGTGTCGGTGTATCAATTTTGTCACTTCATTTGTCGTCGTCGTCGTCGTCCAAGTATATTTTGAAAGAATGGAGATCTGATCACATCTTGCTTTCTACCCAAATTGCCCTCGCTGTAATGCCAGTCCCCTGAAAATCGTGGGACAATAATAGCATCGTTTTCTATCATCGTACTGATCAATAAAAGTTCCTGTCTATTATCCTATTTTCTCAGAGCGTCAATCATTTACGCGGCTGTGCTATCGTCGGCAGTCTCCGTAGCCGTGGTGGTATCGCCAGCCGTCGTCTGGTCCTTGGTAGAGTCTTCCGCTCCCGATGTCGTCACTTCCGTTGTCTCTCCGCCCGTAGTTGTCTGGTGACTGTCGTCTGCCGTTGTGTCCGCTGGCCGGGGGCTGGACAGTTGGGCGTCCGTCTTGGGCTCATTTGTCTCGCTCTGATCTGCCTGGGGCTGAGCGCGCGGCGACTGTTCGCCCTTCTGGTCACGACCAGGTGACGGCTTCGGAGACGGCTCCTTCTTCTCCTCCTTCTTTTCTTCCTTCTTCTCTTCCTTCTTCTCTTCCTTGGGCGCTGGGGCAGGTGGTGGTGGTTCTGAGAGGAGCAGAAACAGACGTGAAAATATATGTGTGATTTTTTATCAAGCTCTGCTTTTCTTTAGTTGTACACTTACGTTAGCTAGGCAGCAGCACATCAACACGATTGAGCTTCGCTCGTTCAGTTACATAATCTCAAAAAGAAACAGATAATGCCAACATACGTTTCACTTTAGAAAAGGTAGGGCATTTTTTAAATAATTGCCACTTTTTGTACCCCATTATTAACAAAATATTATTTTTGTTAAAAATCAAACACGAATCTGATGTCAGGTCCATAACTGTTCTTCAAGTTGTGCTTTTTTCTGCTTTACGTTCTACGGGTAGATCTAATTTATAACAGAACTTGAACTAGTGTTGACAACAGTTTATACTTAACCGAGTTCAGTTCACAGCGAGACAATGGGTAGACTATGTCAAGACGCGTGCCTCCGGACTGGGTATTTATTTTTAAACTGTCATTAATAATAGCACCACATTCGAAGTAGAACAGTGGAGCAATAGAAACTCTGAAACTTTTTATTACTTGAGTATGTAACTCTTATTCTATTTCTAGAATCACTTCTTCAAGTACATTTGTTTTTACTTGCAACACGATTACAAAAGAAAGAGTGAGCTGTACAATCGATTAACTGGCGCGCGATAATTTCCCAACTCCTTACGTTTCAACTTTAAGTTTTCCAAAGCATGAAGAAGAAACATCAGTAAGGATGCTTAACATTGTGAACCAGGGAAATGAGACGAAACGAAAAAAAGTAAGGTCTAGATTAAAAACTATTCTTCTGAGAAGAAATAAAGTAGTAACTCAGCACAGCTTCCCCGTACAGTAAGTGAGAGTTGAACATAATGGAACTTGAAAAGTTGCAACAATGTGAATTAAATGGAAATTGAACTTTTTTTGTTAAAAACAAAACAAACATTGAACACTGAAATACATCTTTTTGAGTTATTGAAATAGATTTGCCTTGTATAAGTAAAAGGCTGAGAAAAGTTTAATCACGTCGCAAATGTGGTAAAACAAAACAGATGAAAATTGAAGAAAAATATAGCAACCCAAGGCAATAATTAAGAGGACACACGTAATCTTTCATTGATTGCACGGTTGAACAACTCCGTGTTAAATCATTTATTTCAAGTACTGCAGAGGACAGGTCTCGTGCTAGTAGTTCGAAGGTCTTGCCGACATTGTTCCTTAGCCTTCGGCAGCCTCTTCGTGTTCTCCCTCTTCGCCGTCTTGGGGTGATAAAATATTAGTTATTAGAGTTTAAAAACCAAGAACAGTATATTCTGCTAACAGCCAGACGGAATTTGGATAGCCAAAAAGCCCCCAACCGCCCCTCTTTTTCACAGTGATTATACAAGGCCCTGCCAATCGAAATAAAAAGCGAAAAATACAATTCTTTGGTCATATAGAACTTCCCCAGAACACTATGAAAGATATACTCGAGGCAAGATAATATGTTGGACAACGGCTAAGGGTGGACTACACACAATTTGGATCGACAACATCAAAGTGTGGACGAGTCTATATGCTTGACAAAATGCAGGAGAAAAGCTGGCAATAGTAAACAATGACAGGTCATTACACGTCAGCCTGTCAGCCATAGATAACATCTCCAGGTATCCACGTATAAATATGAACAAGACCCTTTCTGTCCCTTTACACAGTGTACAAGTTTATATCTGAATGCCGTGTGTGAACGCTGTGTGTTAATGTCGTGTGTGAATGTCGTTTGTGAATGAGCGTGTGTGAATGAGCGTGTGTGAATGAGCGTGTGTGAATGAGCGTGTGTGAATGTCGTGTGTGAATGTCGCGTGTGAATGAGCGTGTGTACCTGTGTCAGTGTGTGTGTGTGTGTGTGTGTGTGT